ATTCAGTATTTTTTTTTTTTTTTGCCCTGGCCGGGTAGCTCAGTTAGTTAGAGTATCATCCCAATATGCAAGGTTGTGGGTTATATCCCTGGTCAGAGCACCTACAAGAATCAACCAATTAATGCATAAATAAGTGGAACAACATAGCAATGTCTCTCTCTCTCTCTTATCTCTTCCTTTCTCTCTAAAATCAATAATTTTTTAAAAAACATATTCAATTTTTTAATTTTCCAATTTATTGGGGTACATTGGTTAATAAAATTATATAGGTGTGACTACCACCCAAAGTTGAATCTTCTTCAGTTCAGTGTTTTAAAAAAGTTTAGTAGTATAATCTCTATCTTACTTTCTATTTCATACAATAAAAGAACTTTAAAGTTGTAGTGGAGCCCAGAGTTGATCTAGAGACAACTCCGGAAATCTGAAAAAGTCACATATTTTACTTTTATAGCTGAGCAAAGACTGATAGTTATCACTATACTATATAGTTATACTATACTACATAGCTATTTGAATGTAAATTCTAATTGTATGTATCATCCTTCCATGAAGAAGGAAAGTCCGCAAAATAAGATCTATATTCTTATAACTCCATCTTTACTGCATTTTCCAAACCTATTCCAAGTCATCTTCATGTCTTGCCTGACTGAATCAACGGCCTTCAACTGGTCTCCTTGTTTCTGCTTTTGAATCTGGACAGCAAACCCTTTGGGCAAAAGTGTTAAAATATGATAAATAACTTTCAGAAGAATATAGATTAAATACATGCTTCTTTTCATTCCTTTGAAATCTTACTAAAACTAACATTCACATTTTTTAAGAGATACAAATCTACAAGGATGAGAGTCCAGGACAGATCATGGCACAATTTTAGAAGCTGGGATATTAATGCAGAATCTGTAACTCAGCAGATCTAAGAAAACCAAATCTTAAAATAGCAGTGAGGAAAGCCAAGAATCAACCCTAATACCCTGCAGAATACTCCAAAGTTCCCACTCCTGGGAGCACCAGGTACTCAGAAGCTGTTAAAATTTTGGTGGCTAAAGTAAGAATTGGCAGAAAGTTGTTAAGAATGCCTCAGACATTGAGTCCCCACCATGGACGGGCAACTGCGCCTCCCCTCCCTATTCCAGTAAAAGATGGGGTTATTTACTTCCAGAAACAGTGAAGCAGTTGAAGTTTAGATGGAGGTTTTAAAAGACATAGTTGAAGAGGATAACATGAATTAATCATCTGAGTGTTGGATCACCTCCATTTACCACCACCTGACCCTGCTAGATCATTTCTGCCACTTTGCATTCCACATGCTGTCAGCAAGGCATTTATCTTTTAGCAATAAGGTTGCTGGAAAACACACGGACAGGAGACCCAGTTAAATTAAATTCAGATAAATTAAAAATACTAAAAATTGTTGTGTCCTCCCTTTTTTCTTCAATTATTTTTGTATAAGAATGTCCCAAATAACATAAGGGACATATTTATGTTTTAAAATATATATATTTTTTGTTTATCTCAAATTTGAACTCACTTAGTCATCTTGCAGTTTTATTTGCTTAATTAGGCAACCTTATTCAAGAAGAGACTTAGAAGAATTTTGAAGTTTGGAAAACCTGACCAACCCAAGAGGAAGCCTTTAAAGATAATACTTAAGGGATTCCCCTAACCAAAGTCCCAGTTATGTTACCCTACTGTGCAGCTTGAAATGGCAAGCAAGTATTACCCACACATTCAGAACTTTCAGTCAGTTTTTGTTAACCCAAAAGTACCACCCTATATATGAAAAAAAAACAAAACACTAAATTTAAAATTTTAAATTCCAAAACCTGTCTGGCACTAGTGGTTTAGGCAAAGGACCACTGCCAAGCACAACAACAGAGTTTTGTTTTCTTGGCAGTTCCAGCACCAAGAAGGGAGTTATCTTGTGGAGTTATCAAATGGAGCCAAGACTCTGGTGAAGGCAGAAAAGCAGGACAAGGTTGAGGGGAAAAAGGAAAAAAAAAAGAGAGGAAGAGCCAAGAGATTGCTGTCTTGTTGGGTAACCACCTTTTTTAACTTAAAAATATATCACAAAAAGTAAAATATGTCCTAAGTTTTGAATGTTAAAAATTAATATGGCAATGTAATGTTGTATATATTCCCCATACATAATGCAATTAATGTCAATATGATACACAATATATGGTAATATTGATATGACAATAAATATTTTTATACCAAATAATTTAACTAATTTTCAATTGTTGGATATTTTCTACTTGTGTTCTTGACACTATGTTTTCCCCCTTTTTATCCAGCACCTTGGAACACCAATTATGAGTATTAACTTCTTCTATATTTTCACTCTTTTTTGTTGCTCTTTCCCTTAGACCTATAAAGATAACCGCAGCTCTCTTACCTATTGAAGAAACAAAAACCAAAAACAGACTTTGTGACCACAAGTCTCTGTCTAGTTTCTGTCTCATCTCTCTTCTGTCTCAGACAGAATTTTGAATTAGAAATAATCACTCATTCTTGCAATAGCCTCACTTCCCTTCAATTCTTCAACCTATTATAATCTGTTTCACTGTGTCATTATGAGCCCAGGAAATCCTACCAAAATTGCACTCCTTCATGCTAGTAATGGTAAACATAGTGTATTAATGCATTTTACAATTTTCTCATTATGAGGGTTTATACTTCCTTCCTGTCCACAAGAGTTCTTTTTTTAAGTTCTCCTTTATTTTTTAATCATATTTGCAGGCTCTTGTTTTTCTGCCCATTTCCTGCCCAAACACTGGACCTCCTTCCTAAGTTTCCACCTCAAGAACCACTGTTCTTCGCTGTCTGTAGTCACCTTTGTAATGTTGTTCACTCTTATGGGTTTAACCACCTCTTTTAGCCTGCTGGCTTTCAAATCAGTATTTCTAAATCCAGTATCTCAAATAAGCACCAGAACCAAATATTCAGCAGCCTGTTGGATGGCTCCAGCTGCATATCTCATAAGTACTCCAAAACTAACAAAGCAGAAATGAGCATCTCCTCCCCTGGTATCCAATCTGCGCCTTGCTGTGAGTTCTGATCTGTCCAAGCATCACATTCACCCAGCCACCCAGACACTTTTCCCAGAAACCTGGCACCATTCTAGACCCTTCATTCTGTTTCTCTCTTCCATAGCAAACTAGCTAGCTACTAAGTTCAATTTCCTAAATACTTTTTGACTCCATGCCCTGCTTTTATTCCTAGTAGCATGATCTTGGTCCAGGTCCTATAGGATTATTTTAATACTAATCTAACCAAACTTTTTGTCCTTACTTCCATCCTCCACAGTGAAAAATGATCTACTCAGAAGCAGGTGTGACCACATCGTTCCCTTGCTAATACCTTCCAACAAAAGAACACCACTGGCAGAATAAAGTTCAAATCTTCCGAATGACAGGTAAGATCTTGCAAGATATGATCCTGCCTCCAGGCTCCTCTTCCACCAGTACTCGCTCCTCATGTCAGGCCTCGGAAACGCAGAACTGCTTGCTCTTCGCTGCACACCTTGTCCTCTCACATATCCACACCTTTAAGCATGCCCTCTACTCCACCTAGAGTTCCATCCATTCTTTTTCACCTAGATACTAGTCTAAGCTTACACATCATGTCTCCAGAAAGCTCCCTGGATTCCCAAATGAGGCTAATTACAGCTCCTTAGTATTCCTACAGCAAAAGGTGTATTCTATGTTCTATCTGCGTCTTTTTCCCCTATTAGATTCCTCATGAGGAGGGTCTAGGCTTATTAATCTTCATACCATTAAGCACAGAATATATACCTGGTATGCAGTGGGCTCTTGAAAACGTTACATGGTGGGGGCAGTCCCAGCACTCAGAGGACTTTCAGTCTCGAACAAAGTATGTACATAACAGGCTATGTACCTAATCTGACGTGAGATGTCTTTGATAGAGTTAAGCATAGGATGTTTGGGGGCACAGAAGAGAGTACCTGACTCAGATGGAGATGAGAGCGGCTCCACGGGAAGTGTCAGGGCAGCCTTCTTGGTGAGGACAGCACCTAAAAAGCACTATGGGTGATGAACAGGAAGGAGTGTCATAGATGAAGGAAACAGCCCCAAGCCCACCCGAGGTTCTGCCGATGCTGGCATGTTGGACATGGGGAAATGTCTCAGTCTGACAGGAGCCTGGAGCACATAGGTGAAGGGAGAGGAGACAACATAGAGCAGAAAAAGGCACATCAGTCTTTGAGTATTTTATGTTAAGGAATTTGATTTGCCAGTGAGAAGATGGTAAGATATTTTAGTTAAGAGAATGAAATAACCAGAAATGGCTTTTAATGATTTTTATAATTGTAGTGTAGGGCATGCACTGGATGGAGCTGAAACTGTCAACAGGAAGCTCTGTTAGGGTATTGCAGACATCTGCGGGAACTAGGACTGGAGGCCAGATGAGGAAGGTAAGACGAGAATGAGAAGATAGAATGAGAAGAGTAAGAAACATCATTTTTCGTAGGCCTCTTATCTCGTAAGATTACTCCAGTTCCTCCTTTATGTTGAAGAATGTTAGATAGCTGAATCTTTTCAGTAATAAACTATTTTACTGCACATCTCAGAGGCCAACTCTGTATGTCTCCAGGTCGTACTTAGTGTCAAGCTCTTCATAAAGCAAACTAGGCATCAATGAACACACAGGGAAAATGGCTAAATTTGTTCAGGCAGGAAATAGCAGATGTTAATTATCTGATAAAATTCTCTATATTTTGATTATTATATCATTTTAAACACTGGCACTGCAAAATAAATGTTCTTCTTTTCCCAACCAGTTTAAAATCGGACTCACAGTTAGGATTGCAAATTAACAAATAAGAATTTAGGATGCTTAACTAATTTGAGTTTCAGGTAAACAATTTTTTTTCTCTCCAAGTGGGACGTACTTATAATAAAAACAATTCATTGTATATCTGAAATTTAATTCTAACTGGGCACCTTGTATTTTATCTGGTAACTCTCCTGCCACCAAAATGATCATCCCCTGTAACTAGTAGCTCTCTTTACATTTGTGTAGTCCATCCGACGCCCCAGGGCACAAACTTCGTCTGATCTCTTCTCAGACACCTTGTAGCTTAGGTGACAACAAAGATCCTTTTGACAAACTGTAATTCCCTGAGATTCCCGTGAGCTCCAAGGTGAATTTAAAAAACTGCCCTGAAATTCCTGGTTTCCCATTGCGAGTGCTTCTATACCGCTAGCACGAGAAGTCCAATTCACCATGACTGGGAGGTGAGGGTGGGAATGCAATTGTGAGAGCAGGAATTTTCCCTCCTGTCTTCATATCATAGTGAAATGCTCTTTGAGAATTAGGTACAGAGATGTCACTTTCCTGGAAGTGAGGTCTGAAATGATATTTGGAATAGAAAAGGGAAAAGGGATCACACAGTTATTTTTTTAAACTTATACCTCATATTAATATTTTACTCCCATTAAGGTATATATGTCATTAATTTCAGTGAAATATGCTAAGGACAACAGATGATAAAAAAAAAAACCAAAATCTAGTATATCATGACACCAAAAAGCCGAGAAGAATTTCACCTAAGAAGTGGTGAATTTTTGAAAGTAAAAAAGAAAAAAAAAAAGGTGTTCATTCAAGTTAAACTAAATAAATCTCAAAATGATTTACATGAAAATTGAGTCTATAGCATGTCACCAGCTAGATACACAAAAAGTAAGAATTAAAGATCATTGTGGTAAGGAGTATATATGTTAGAAAAAAACTTTTTTTTTTTTTTTTTTTTGCTTTTTGGATTACATCAAGGCTGCAAATCTTAGTGATTACACATTACCTGTAATTTTCTTTGAGGGGTGATGTACATTGGATGCAAGTATGTTACTGAACAAATGGACCCGTGGGGGGCAGGGGGTTTGCCCAGATGCTATTACCAAAACGACACCCCCCTTCCCTGGGGTCCCTCGGTTGTATGTCCTTTGCCGCTGCCCTTGGAATTATGGCTCTGAATGGCAGAGTTTGGTGAAAAGGAAAGGAATCATTTATTCAATAGTTATACATGTTTCAATAGTTTTAAGGCTAAATGTCACCCTTAAACCTCAAAATCCCTTTAAAACAATCACCAGCACACACACCGTCCTGCCTTCCCCCTTTTGCCCAGTTAGGCCAGTCAGGCCTGTCAGGGGTACCTTCCTTCAGAAGAAAAAGAACATAAGTCTGGGGCTCAGCTAGGCAGGCCTCTTGCGGTTCTCAGGACCATCCGCTACGTTGCTGCGATCTCCAGCTCTTAATCCATTGCCATGTGGCACCTTCTCATGGCCCACTAGCAAGAATCATTTCTCCCCTCTTTCTCCCCGCGTGGTCTTCACTCTGTTCCCCAGAATCTGGGTCCCTTGTTCTCTCCTGCAGGCCCCTGTCTCTCCTCCTCCTCTCTCCCAGTTACATTCTATATTCTTTTTTAACCTTCCTGACTAGCTTTCGTGATAGGTAAAATAACCCTTTTTGCAAATGAGGAATGAAGCTATCCTGTTATTGACATGCAAAATGACTCTCAATGGCCCTGCTCGAGGCTCCCATCCCCCATGGCGGCCCGCCCTGGGGTGGGGAGAACATATTTTTCTTGGACACCCCAATCTCTGGACCCCACTACAAGTACCCTTTGGAGGGTCTCTGGCTATGCCCCGTTACCAGGAGACTGACCCCCATGCTCAAAGCCCAAGCTGAGTAGAATTCAATAGCTGAAAAATGTGGCCAAATATTCACCCAATTTGTGGGAAACAGCATGGTGTCCACCTTGAAATCCTTCACCAGAGTAACAGCAAGATTGTAACGTGGCACAGCCAGAGCCCCCCCAAAAGGTATTTGTAACGGGGCCCTGAAATTGGGGTGTACAAGAAAAATATATTCTCCCCACCCCAAGGCAGGCCGCCATGGGGGATGGGAACCTGGAGCAGGGCCATTGAGAGTTATTTTGTCTATCAGTAACCGACCAGCCTCTTCCTTGAAGTGGGGCAAGGCCGTTGAGAGTCATTTTGCCTGTCAATAACAGGATAGACCTATTCCTCATATGCAAAGAGGGTTATTTTACATTTCAACAAGGCTAACCAGGAAAGTCTGAAAAACTTTTAATACAGAATGTAACTGGGAGAGAGAGGAGGTGAGACTGGGGCCTGTGGGAGAGACAGGGGACTGTGGGAGAGACAAGGGCCTGCGGGAGAGACAAAAGGACACAGACTCTGGGGAACAATGTAAAGACCATGTGGGAAGAAAGAGGGGAGAAAGGACTCTTGCTAGTGGGCCATGAGAAGGTGCCACAAGGTTTTGGATTAAGAGATGGAGACCGTGGCGACGCCACGGATGGTGCTGGGAACCGCAAGAGGCCTGCCTAGCCGAGCCCTGGACTTCTGTTCTTTTCCTTCTGAAGGACGGTACCCCTGACTGGCCTCACTGGCCTCACTGGGCAAAGCGTGGAAGGCAGGACCGTGTGTGTTGGTGGGTGTTTTACACGGTGGGAGCGTTAAAGGGATTTTGAGATTTAGGAGCGACATTTAGCCGTAAATCAAACTTGTATAACTATTGAATAAATGATTCCTTTCCTTTTCACCAAACTCTGCCATTCAGAGCCATAATTCCAAGGGCGCCAGGCAAAGGACCTACAACCGAGGGACCTTGGGGAAGGAGGGGGGTAGTTGTTTCGGTAACAGCATCTGGGCACCCCCGCCCCCCGCCCCGCACGGGTCCATTTGTTCCAAAACAAGATCAGGGAAGAGTATATTGCAGCATGGAAAAACGCCAAGCCTTCTAAAGGTGGTGTTGAAAGTCACAGGATTCTTGGGTTCACTAAATAATTGTTCTTCATCGCCAAAAAAGGTTTTGCTGCAATAAACAGGATTAAGGGAGGAGAAATCTCTTTTAAGAAGTTGGCTTGGATGTCACTGTGTCTGAAAATGTACAAGCTCACATTGATTCGGCAGTGCTAACTTCATCTAGGACCACTGGCTTCATAGGAGGGATGTTATAGAATCCAAGACGACTATAGCCAACAGGAAAATTTGGTTCAATCTTCACATTTTATAGATATGTACAAGGGATTCCTTCCCTGTTAAGACCTTTCTGGATCTTACAGGATGTAGGAGTAAACTAGATAATGTCTATTTGCCAAGAACACTTAACTATTTTCTGTGGACAAAGGACTCTGCTCTTTTTTCGTCAAAACCAAGTCTATCATAAGGAGTTTTTTATTCCAGTCTTGACCCTTTGCCAGAGCATGTCTTTAAAAAGACAAAGTCCAGGTAGGTCCTACTGATTCTCACACACTCCCAACAACATATTCCAGTAAACCTCTTGGGTGCCATACATTTAAGGACTAGGACATAAAAAAGCAATCACATACATAGGAGAATTTAGAAAGTCACTGCAGTCGCCCAGGAAAGACACAGACTAACAAATACCTGAGAAAATCTTGAGATACGTTTCAAGCTTACACCCAGAACAGAAACAGCCTACAACAATCAAAACAAACAGATGCAAAACCCTAGGGAAGAAACAAATTTTTGATTTCCATTTATCACCTTGTAGGAATCAAATGTCCACTTAACAAAAAGGCATAAGGCATACAAATAAACAGGAAAAAATATGGCCCATTTGAGGGAGAAAATACACCATCAGAAACCATCCTAGAGAATGATCAGGTGTCATACTTACTAGACGTAACCTTTGCAGTTTGAGGTGCAGTAGCAAAACAGGCACAAATTTGTTTTTCTCTCTTCACAATTTCGTGGGTTGAAGATTGGTTTTCGCTATAGTTCTTAGCAACCTCAGTGTATGATTTTTTCTTATTAAGATGAGAATTTACACTTTTTCATTTAAAAGAGCCACTTTACAGCTTTTCTTTGAGATATCCAAATCACCAGCATCACTACTCTAGTGTTTTGGGGTCACTATAAAGTAAAATAAACATTACTGGTGCCCCAGCACCAGAATGGCAGCAACAGTTGATCTGGTAACAGATGACTACTAAGTGACTGATGGGTGGTTAGGGTATATACACTGTGAACACACCGGCCACAAGGATGATTCATGTCCCAGGTGGGGCAGAGTAGGACTGAGAAAGATTTTATCATATTACTCAGAAGAGAGCACAATCTAAAGCTTATGAGCTGTTTATTTCTGGGATTTCTATTTAATATTTTTGGAGCATGGTGACCACATGTAGTAACTGAAACCACAGAAAGCAAAACCACAGATAAGGGAGGACTACGGCGTACACCGTATTTTCTTCATCCATTTAGATGGTCTGCATGTCTCAGCTTTTGTAAATAATGTTGCAATGAACAGGGGCAGGCAGGTGTCTTTTAAGATATCTTGGCAACTTCCTTTGAAAACCTCCCCAGAAGTGATATGACTGGATCACATGGTAGTTCTATTTTTAATTTTTTGAGGAATATTCATATTCTTTTCCATAGTGAATGCACCAATTTTCATTCCCTGTATGGGTTTCTTTTCTCCATGTTCCCTCCAGCATTTGTTATCTCCTGTTTTTTTGATAATAGCCAGTCTACCAGGTGTGATGGGATATCTCAGTAAAGAGTGATGTTGAGCATCTTTTCATGTTTCTACTGGCTATTTGTGTGTTTTCTTTGGGAAAAAAATGTCTATTCAGGCCCTTTGCCCATTTTTAATTAAAAAAGTGTTTTTGTTATTGTGTTGTATGAGTTCCTTATATATTTTGGATATTAATGCCTTATCAGATATGATTGACAAGTATTTTTTCCCATTCTGTAGGATGCCTTTTGATTTTGTTTATTGTTTCTTTTGTGTTGCTGAAGATTTTTAGTTTGATGTAGTTCCATTTATTGATTTTTACTTAAGCTTTTGGTGTCATATAAAAAAAAGCTTTGGCAAGATCAATGTCAAGGAGATTTTCCATACTTTTCTAGGAATTTACAATTTTAAGTCTTATGTTTAAGTGGATTTTGACTTAGTTTTGGTGAATGGTGTAAGATAAAGGTCCAATGTAATTATTTTGCACATGAATATCCAGTTTTCCCAATACCGTAGATTGAAGAAACTATCTTTTCTCCTTTGAGTATTTCTGGCTTCCTTGTCAAATATTACTTGACTTTATATGCATGTGTTTGTTTCTAAGCTCTTAATCCTCTTCTACATGTATGTGTCCATTTTGATGTCAATACTGTACTGTTTTGATTACTTTAGTTTTGAAATAGAGTTAAAAAACAGAATATGTGATGCCTTCAGTTTGTTTTTTCCCTAAGACTTTTTTGGCTACTGGGAGTCTTTAGTGGTCCCATACAAATTTTAAGACTACTTTTTCTATTTCTGTGAAAAATGCCATTGTAATTTTGATAAAGATTGCATTGAATCTATAGTTGGCTTTGGGTAGTATAGACATGTTAATAATATTAGCTCTTTCAATCCATGATCACAGGATATCTTTCCATTTATTTGTGTCTTCTTCAATTTCTTTCCTCAATATCTTATAGTTTTTGGTGTATAGATCTTGCATTTCCTTGGTTAAAGTTATTCCTAAGCATTTTTTGATTTTCGATAATTTGTAAATGGGATTGTTTTCTTTATTTCTGTTTCATACAGTTCATTGTTAGTATATATAAATGCAACCGATTTTCATGTATTGATTTTGTATTCTGCAACTACACTTAATTTTTTAATTAGTTAACAATTTTCTGGTGAAATCTTTAGGATTTTCTTTATGCAAGATTATTTCCTCAACAAACTTTTTATTTCCAATTTGGATACCTTTTATTTCTTTTTCTTTTCTAGTTGCTGTGGCTAAGACTTTCAGTATTATGTTCAATGAGAGGGCGATACGGGACACCCTTATCTTGTTCATGATCTTGAAGGGAAAGTTTCAACCTTTCATTGTTGTGTATGATGTTGGATGTGGGCTTGTCATAAATGGTCTTTATTATATTGAGGTATGTTCCTTCTATACTCACTTTGTTGAGAGTTTCTAATTATGAAAATAATGTTAAATTTTGTCAAATGTTGCAATTGAGGTGATGATATAATTTTTATCTTTCATTCTATTAATGACATTATATTTTCTGACTGTGTATGTTCAACCACCATTGCATCATCCCAGGAATAATTCTCATGTTACATAGTCTATGATCCTTTTAAAGTGCTATTGAATTTGGTTTGTTGGTATTTTGTTAAAAATTTTTTGCAGCTAAAAAAACAAACAAAAAAACAAAAAAATTTTTGCATTTGTACTCATCAGGGATATTGACCTGTAGTTTTCCTTTCTTTTGATATTTTTAGCCGACTTTGTTATCAGAGTAATGCTGACCTCATAAAATGAGTTTAGAAGTATTCCTTCTTCTTCAAACTTTGTAAGATTTGTATATAGATTGACAGTAATTCTTCTTTAAATGTTAGGTAATATTCGCCTGTGAAGCCATCTCTTCCTGGACTATTCTTTTTGGGGAAGTTTTTGATTACTGATTCAATCTCCTTACTCACTATTGGTCTTTTCATATTTCTGATTTCTCATGACTTAGTCTTGATAGGTTGTCTATTTCTAGGAATTTATCAATTTCTTCTAAATTGTCCAATTTTTTGACATTATTGTTCATAGTAGTCTCTTATGATGCTTTGTATTTCTGTGGTATTTGTTGCAATGTCTCCTCTTTTATATCTAAAAAAATAGAATGTTTCAGTAATTCACATCATCTTTGCACATAGGCCATGATAATCTTCTCTGTATTGTTTCAATTTTAGTATATGCTGCCCAAGTGAACATAAGAGGAGTTATTGCTTCGTGGTTACAGAGGTTGAGTTGTGCTAGATAAAGGGTCCTGGAGATGAATGATGGTAATGGTTGCATAGCAATATGAATATAATTAATACCACTGACTATACATTCAAGAATGGTTAAGATGATAGATTTTATGTTATACATACATTACCACAATAAAAAAAATTTGAGGGGAAAAACTTTTGGAGGTAAGAAAAGAGAAATCTTACTCAGGAAACTAGTGAATCTTTAGGAAAGAAAAGGGCAAGGAGAATTTAAAAGATGCATTTGAGGGTCATAGGAGATAGAGTTCTGCACAAGGGCCCAAGAAACGTGCTCAAAGTTTAATAGACAAGGAAGTACCATTAATAAAGCTTTGAGGACAGAAGAAACATGATCTGAATTTTCTTTAAGGTCAATAGGCCATCACAGTATGGAATGTACTAGAATGTTTAGAAGATAAATGTAGGGAAATCATTAGGGAGCTGTTTCAATAATTTACATTAAAGGCAACAAGAGTTGGGCTAGGAGAAAGCCAGCCAATGTGGAAATATGGGAGAACTGGGACATTTGTTAATGCTTGATTTCTTTATTTTTATCATATTACCAGTAGTTGTCCAAGAAAAGCAATATAAATGCAATTTGGAAAAGTAGGACATCAGAATATATAATAGTTACCCATATTTATTCTGTATTGGCACACATTAAATAATAATACTAGGTTATTGAAAAATAGCTGAGAAGGCTAGGATAACAGTTGAATGAATGAAAATGTGGTGCCATCTGCTGACAATAATAATAAAAGCCTTCTTTGAATTTGAAATCTAGATGATTAAATATACAAACTGGTACAAAACCATAGCAATCATCTATAAAACATATCCTCGTAAAAGACCAAGAAGGATGGAAAAGCACACCTAAAAACTTATTTTAATACATTTATGTAAGTGACTATCTGATAGCTTTCCTCTCATTTGCTTCAATTATATGCGAAGTGCGCAGATATAAACACAACACACCGAACCACTTGAAACATACCTTACCCCGAGTCTTTCCAGGTCACCGGAAGTGGTAGAATAGGTACATGAAATAGAAGCCTGGTGTTTTGTATACCTGAAACAGTCCTGATTACATATTTTCCTCCTGTCTCTATTAATCTTAAAAGTGCTTCATGTATTCTACTATATTTCCATTTAAATTGCATTTCTCAGACCATTTGCTATAGCCAGGAAAACCTCCAAAAATTCTTTGTTAGA